TCTAAAGCAGCAATAGAAAAAGAGTTAATTATCTATAAGGAGCTCCCATAAGACTGTCAGCTAATTCCTCAACAGAAACATTTCCGGCCAGAAGGGATTTACATGAAATAGTCAAAGCTATGAGAAACAAAGACCTACAATCAAGACTACTCTAACCAGCAAGGCCATTATTTAAAACTAGAGGCCCAGTGGATGAATTTGTGCATGGGTTGGGTCCCAGCTGCCCGCGGTGCAATGACGGGTGGGAACTGTGGGCCCTGGCCGCCTGCGGTGCTGTGGTGGGAGGGAGCTGTGGGAATAGAGCCATGCTGCCACCGGACTGGCCTCTGGGTCCCTCCCCCCGTCCGCAGGATCTGGAGAACTGGAGCCATGCTGTGATGGGACTGGACCCTACCTGAGGGGTCCTGGATTGTGAGAGGGTGCAGGCTGGGCTGAGAGACCCGCCCCCCACCCCCCGAGTGCATGCACTGGGCCTCTAGTGTTATATATTTCTTACTCATTTATTGTATCTGTCACCCAAGAGAATGGAAGTTCTATGAGGGCAGGACCACTTCTATCTGTTCACAGTTCACACTGTTCTCCCTTTACCTAAAACTAGGGTGAGTGTCTGGGAGGGAAAATCCTGTGTACCAGTCCTTTAAAAAAGGGGCTTTGTCCCTGGGTGGTTCAAGTCTCTGGCTACTGGAAGCACGGATGCTGGTTGGTGTGTGGTGGCTATTGCCAGTTCTGGCTCTCCAGGCTGGTGTGCCCTGTCTGGTGTCCAGGCCTCTCTCCTCTCTGGGGGAACCCTCTGCTTCCTTGGCCCACAGCTCCCGGGTGCTGGGCCAGTGCCCATTGGCTCCTTGGCTTTCCTACCAGTTTTGAGGAGGTCTCTGCCCTTCCTAATTTAAAAGTCTCCTCTTCAGCCAGTCTTCAGCTGGTATTTTAGGGTGACTATTACCCAGTATAGTTCAGTTCTAGTTAAATTCTGGGAGGAGGTGGGAGAAAGATCCACCTACTCCGCTGCTATCTTCCAATTCCCCCTCCCATGATTCTGCGAGAACTGAATGGTTAATGTGTTGCTCAAAGTTTGTTCATTATCCCCAGATCCTCCTGTCCCAATCTGGACAGGTATCCTACTGTCCTTCACCCTCTTCCCTCCTTCTGTGAAGAGTGAACAGAGCTAGGCCAGATCTGGGGGAGCTTGGTGGCTCAGGCCCCAGAGGAAGCTCAAAGTCTAGACCATGGGTGGGCAACCCCTGGCACACATGCCAAACATGGAACGCCAGTAACTTTTGCCGGCACGTGAAAACCTCTCTTATAATCTTCCATTTATAATTTTTGTGAACATTTGAATGACTTAAATGTTAAATTATAAGGAACTGGCAACACACTTGATGTTATGTTTGGTTACGTAAAGGCTTTTGAAAAGAAACTGAAAGTCTTTAAGGGGGATGTAGATGGTGAGAGATTTAGATATTTCCCAAACCTCAAGAGGCACATCAAAGACCTCCCAAAAGATGGCAGAACAGACTGTCAAAGCCTTCAAAAGCTGTTTTTAAACATCATAGAGT